CATTCTTCGAGTCGTGAAAGTCCTTTAAATTTTGTCAGTGGTACAGTTCATGACAGTTCTTTAAATCATGTCAATCATTCGGGTCATGGCAGTTCTTCTTTTTCTTCTCATACGTCTCCTTTGTATCCATATCATCCTCATTCTCATCATTTCACAACACCTTTACAGTCAGTTTCAACATCATCTTCTCATTCCATTTCTCCATCACCATCTTTACATGCTACATCCTCTCCTCCATCTTCCACTGTTCAACTCACTCCATCTCTATCATCTCCACCTGGTGTTCGTAATGCTCATCCAATGGTCACAGAAGTAAAGCCGAATGTTTAAACCAAAGGTGTTTATAACCCAAGTTAAGAACTATGATGAACCTGTTGATATCTTCAAAGCTTTAAAGCACCCTGGTTGGAGAGGAGGTGAGTTGTGCAGACCAACCTGTTGATATCTTCAAATAAATTATAATTGGAAATTACAAGCCCTGCCACCTAATCGGAGTCCTCTTAGGTGTAAGCGGCTTTTCAAGGTCAAACGTAAGCCTGATGGTTCTTTTGAAAGGCTGAAAGCTCGCCTAGTTGCTAAGGGTTACTCCCAACAAGTTGGTAGTGATTTCCATGAGACCTTTAGCTTGATCGTTCATGCTACTACAATCCAAATTGTGCTTGTTGTTTTTGTTCTTAACAATTGGCGTATTCATCAGATTGATATCAACAACACATTCTTGAACAGAGAACTTAGCGAAGAAATTTACATACGACAACCACCTTGTTTTGAATGCTCTGGCCCTATGGGGGAGTAGTTGGTCTGCAAGCTTAAGAAAGCTCTTTATGGGCTACGAAAAGCACCAAGAGCCTGATTTAAGACACTCAAAGATTTTCTGGTTATTCAAATGGGATTTGTAACAACCAGAGTTGATTTTTCCTTGTTCATTAAACATGAAAGTGAGGGTAGTGTCCTGTTAATGGTGTACATTGATGATATCATATCACATGGAGCAGTTCAACGACAGTGGATGAGGTGGTTAAGCAAATCAGCATTGAATTCTCTCTTAAAGATTTGGGGGAGCTGGTCTTTTTCTTGGGATGAAAGTTCATCAAATTTCTTCTGGTTTGTAATTATGTCGAAAGAAGTAAGTTTCAGATTTACTTGTAAAGGAAGATATGGAACGGTCTGCTCCTAGGTCTGCTCCTAGCTCAGCTCCTATGACTGTTGCTCCTAATCTCCGGGCAGATGATGGACAGGAAATGCTTGATGTTCATCTTTATTGCAGGATAATTGGTGGGCTCCAATATGTTTGTCTTTCTCGCCCCGATATTCCTTACGCTGTTAACAAGGTAAGCCAATATATAAATCAGCCTCGTGATGTTCACTGGAAGGCAGTTAAACGCAACTTAAGGTACTTGAGTGGTACTCTTTCTCATGGATTAGTCTTCAAAAACATCTGTGGAAGATCGCATGTGTACACTGGATATTGTATCTTCATTGGCTCAAATCTGGTAGCTTGGAGTTTAAAGAAATAAGCTATTGTTTCTAGATCCACTTCTGAGGCAGAGTATCGTAGCCTCGCCAGTGCTGTGTCCGAACTAACTTGGGTTCAACATGTGTTGAAAGAAATTGGAGTTCAATTTTTTGAGGTTCCTGTTGTGTGGTGTGATAACATCTCTACTGTTTCAATGGCAGCAAAGCTTACTTACCATGCTAAAATCAAGCATATTGAGATTGACATCATTTTGTTAGAGAAAATATTGGCAGGCCAACTTGTTAATTATTTACCTACTGATGAGCAAGTTGTTAATATTCTCACCAAGCCTATCCCTCCTTCCTTGTTTGCTGCTATGAGAAGAAGACTTGGGGTTTTACCAGATAAAGAAATTCGAGAAGAGAAGAAAACTGGAAGAATGTTAGAGCGTCTTCTAAGTTCTAACTGTGTAACCAAAAGTAGTTGAGTTTGTTGTATCTGAATTGGGCCCACTTGTATGGACCACTTTATGTAAGTGAGTCTTGTGTATTGGGCTGATGAGCGTTTTTGTATTTCTTCACTAATGTAAATAAAAATCTCTCTCGTTTCAGAATTTAGTTCCTTTTTTCTCTTCTTCATTTTGAGCTCTTTCTATTAGTTCTTAGTTCAGTCAGGTTTATAGATTCGAACAATCATACTATTATAAATATTTATAATTAAATTTAAACAAACTTGAAAACTCGACTCAATTTAAACTTTATAAACTCAACTAGAAAAATGTTCAAATCAAATTTGAGTTATAAAATATGATTCAACTCGAATAAATTATTATTTTTTACTCGACTCAATCAAATGCTCACCCCGTATTGTAATGATCCAAAATTTTGAATTAATACATGATAATTTTCTTGAAATGTTTATGGATCGATTGAGAGCATGAATAAATTTGTTAGACAAAGTATCAGCATAATCGAGAGATGATTAGGCTTAATTACTGCAAAAGAAAGATCTTTTATTTAAAATCAAATGAGAAAAGACTAAAAGAGTAATTATACTATTGAAAAAATAATGGTTGATTTCTCTTGTCCTATGTGGGGGTGAAAGGGCGAAGAAGTTGAAATTAGCTCACCCACCTTTTTTATTCATCTCTTCTTCTAGCATTCTCTGTCTAAATTTTTCCTAAGCAACCCTAGATTTTTAGGCTTCATAAAACTAATTTTTATCATCTTTGTTATCAAGAGAAGTAAGATTTATTCTTACAATAAAAAAAGTTTCAAAATAAGCTTATCGTCTTCATGAGAGGTGATGTGAAGTTATATGGAGGACTTAAAAATGGTTTGGCCATGGAGCTATACTAGGCTGATTCAGGGTATTAATGTGTTCCTTAATTCGTTTTTAAGGCTTCTCTTAATATTATGTTTGATTAAAAATTTATTTTGATGCTTGTTTGATTAATAAAAAAGTAAGTGACCTCTTTTGTACAAAAGAGTAGGAAAAAATTGGAAGGAGTTGAGTAACGGATTTTCTTTTATGTTGGTATGATGCATGCTGGTGTTTTGAGTGCTAAGTATGCTAAATGACCATTTTGATGATTGTATTGTTAAACATGTGTAAAGATTATGTTATCGATAACTCTCCAAAAGAGTTATTATTTAGAACCTTTGTACTTAGGTTCGAGCTTGTACTTTAGTATATTAGGATCATATTTAGAGTATTTTTAGTTAATTTGCATTACATGCATTATTGGAAGTGAGTTGATAATTTTTGCACTAATTATGATATTTTGTTGTGATATTGTTACCTTGATGTTGTGACGTTGTCTGATGATGCAGTTGTTGTTGTATGCTGATACGAGGCAAGATTGTGAGTCATTGTTGTAGCAATCGATACGGGGGCAGAAAGTTGTTGACAGCTAGACATAATCCTATTATGAAAAATATTGAAAAAGTAGAAAGAAGTCTTAATGGAAAACAAGTCTCCATTTAATGCAGACTTAAATTCTACTTTTTAGGGGTTTTAATTAATATATAAAGGAGGCAACTACACTTAATTAAGGGGAAAGATTTTTAGGGTTTTATTTTACTATTTTCTTTTCTTCACCATTAGCCATGGTCGTTTAGGCAATTTTAGGGAAGAGCAGGAGCTAGTCGTGAAGGTAAAAGTCACAACATCAAGATATGGTTACTGATGATCGATGACAGTATCAACGAAAAAACGAATCTGAGAGGGGTTTTTATTTTTGTTTAGTCAAAATACTTTTTTAATTTATGTGAGATTTGTTAAACCTTGGATGCTTATATTTTTAATTATATTTTATGAAGTTCATATTTAATTAATTTTGTCCATTGATTCAATTGGAGTTTGTTTGATTTTATTAAGGTTTTAGTATAGAGATATATAATTGTCCAATCCATTGCAATGAGAGGTGAGTGGTAGCATCAATGATTGCGAGAGTAACATTTTAGTATAGAGAGATCTAGCAGATTGATTTTCGTAACATACTTAATAAAGTTGCATAAGTGGGTATAAAGATATAACACTGTTGAGAGTTTCTAGGTGGATCTATCGAGAGAGGAAAACTTGCTAAGTTAATGGTAGGCGCATCAATCTTATTGATGTGACATCGTTAATTGCATGATTGAGTTTAACTTTCTCATAATCTTTTACTTTAGCCGATCCATTACTTTCATTGTCACTGCTGTGAGTTCTTTCATCCCTTTATATCTTTATTCATATATTTATTTTAGCTATTATAATTTTATTGCTTTGTACACAACATCACATACATAACTATGTTATTTTACCTATTTAATACTATGACAATTCTTTGAGTAATACTAGTCTCTGTGGATACGATGCTTGATACATTAATTTGCATCCACTTTATTACTTGATACGATAATGTATGCTTGCACTTTTGCTGTTGTATTATTCGAAGCATTAAGTGTTTGGTGTCGTTGCCAGTGACTAGTGCCATTACTTTTAGAATTGTCTTTTTACTAACGTAGTTTTAATTTTTCTTTTATAGGTAAATTTTAACAGGTTGTTGTCAAAGCATAACTCAAAGCAATGGAAGGAGATCAACATCAACAAGAGCAATTAGGACATAATGTTGGATTGATTCCTCATTTGCAAACTATTCCGATTATGCTAGGTTACAATAAAATTGATGAAAAAAATAGGCCAATCCGAGAACATGTTTTGCCACATTGGATGACTTCAATCCTAGCATTGTTCGATCGACCATTAATGCTGCCCACTTTGAACTGAAACCAGTGACGTTTCAAATGCTGCAATCAATGAGGCAATATAGTAAGATGTACGCTGAGGACCCTTGAGCACACTTAAGAGAATTTATAGAAGTGTGTGATTCATTCATACAACAAGGAGTGTCCGAGGAAGCCTTGAAGCTGAAATTGTTCACATACTCGCTTCGTGACAAAGCCAAGGCATGGTTCAACTTGCTGCACTTGGTGCTATAACATCATGGAATGAACTTGCCCAAAAGTTCTTGCTCTAACTTAATCCTCTCAACATGAATGCTAGATTAAGGAATGACATCACATCTTTCAAGCAATTAGATGATGAAAACTTGTATGAAGCTTAGGAGAGGTTCAAAGAGTTGTTGCGGAAATGCTCGATGCATGGTTTCCAATATTGGACGCAAATGGAAATATTTTATAATGGACTAACATGCAAACAAGGATGGTTGTAGATGCTTCTTCCAATGGAGCATTGCTGGACAAGTCCTACAATGAAGCTTATGATATGTTGGAGATGATTTCCAATAATGATTTCCAATAACCTAATACAAGTATTATATCGGGTAGATGTGTTTCTACAGCAGTGGATAATGATGCTCTGAACACATTGACCACAAAAGTGACAACATTGACTGAAATGATGAAGAGAATGCAAAAGCCTGGAGGTATGTATAAGTTAAAAGCTACATCTTCTGTTAATTGTGTTTATTGTTGTGATAACCATAATTTTGAAGAATGCCCACCAAAACCCTGAGTCTGTGTATTTTATGAGAAATTATAACATGAATGATAATGCCAACAGATATGGGAACACATACAATCCAAATTTCTAGAATCATCCCAACCCCGACAAATACATAACAACATTATTCACAACAACAATATACTCAACAACAACCTATATTGCAACATCAAAAGTCACATCATCAGGCAATACCACAACAACAACGCAATAACCAACAAGGTTATCAAGAGCAAACTTCTAACCAATCTTCAACATTGATATCACTTGAGTCTCTATTGAAGGAGTATATCTCAATAAATAAAGCAACAAATCAAAGGAATGAATCTTTGATCCAAAGCCAGTCAACATCATTGGGAGCATTAGAGAATCAAGTTGGACAGTTAGCCAATGCTTTGAGTAGCAGATCACAAGGTACATTGCCAAGTGATACTAAAGTTCCGAAGGCTCATGGGAAAGCTTATGGGAAAGCTCACTATAATGAGCATTGCAAAGCCATCACAACACGTAGTGGACTCCATCTTGGAAAATCAAATGATTAAAACAAGAAGGAGGAGGATGACAGGAATGAACAACAATCTAAAGGCAAGGAGTTGTGAGTTGAAATTGAGACACCAATAGTGGATGCCATATAACAAAATGCAAGACAGAGCAATATTTCTGGGACATTATCGCCAACAATGCCGCCACAATTACCATTGCAACCTAAAGAAAGGCCACCACTTCCATTCTCCTAAAGATTTCATAAAAACAAAGAGAACCAATAATTTAGAAAATTCATTGATGTGTTAAGACAATTACTCATTAACATACTATAGCTAGAAGCATTGGAGTAAACACTGAACTACTCAAATTTATTAAGGAGATGCTTTCCAAGAAACATATGATTGGTGATTTTGATACCGTTGCACTCACTAAAGGGTGTAGTGCCATTGTCACGAGAAAATTTCCCAAAATGTTAAAAGATCTAGGGAGTTTTACTATTTCTTGTTATATTGACAATCAATACATAGGTAGAGCTTTGTGTGAATTAAGTTAGAACATTAACTTAATACCATTGTCTATATTTAGGAAATTTTTTATTGGTAAAGCACAACCCACAGTTGTTACACTTCAACTTGCTGACAGATCTATTGTCCATCCCAAAGGCAAGATTGACAATGTGCTAGTACAAGTGGACAAATTTATCTATCCAGTGTACTTTATTATTTTGGACTTTGAAGCCGACAAAAAAGTTCCCATAATACTAGAAAGACCATTCCTTTCTACTGGACGAACATTGATTGATATTGAAAAAGAGAACTCATAGTGTGTCTCAATGACCAACAAATTACATTCAATGTGTTTGAACCACTACAATACGATGAAAAAGATGAATGTCATGTTGTTGACTTTGTCGAAGTAATATTACAAGAGCAATTAGATGAATGTGGGAGCATTGAAGAAATCTTTAATATTACTGTGACAATAGAAGACCCAGGCGAGCCAGACCATGAAGAGACTATGTCAATCTAGGGGAACCAAGGCTTCTACATTGATCTTGGCATTAACAATAGTTCTGCACTGATAATGTCGACTACAGAGTCACAACATGAGCCCTTGAGGAAAACTAAAAATACTATGATTGTTCAAAAAAAATACAACGACAACCAAGGCATCAAGGAAGGTCTTGCAAGGTTGTTACAATGAAAGACTTTTTTAAAGAATTAACGAGTAAAGCCACAACATATTTATGGCAACAATGAAGAAGTGCACTTCATGAATGATTCCAACAAGAAAGAGTTTTGCTTCGAATAGCGTTTCGATCCCACAATTACAAAGGGCCTAAAGCTATACAATTATGCCACAACAACTATCGAAAATGGAAAAGGGATATCGTTTACCAAGACCCAGTAGAAGTTACCACAAACTTTGATTTTAGTATGTGAAATAATTTTTTACATGCTTTTGATAAGTCATTTATGACATTAGATTAGATATTTTTATTTATTAGTTTTAATTAAAGCTTTTATCTCGAGTTTTTTTCCTTTTCAGGTAATGCTCACACATTGATCAAGACATCATCAGTTTCATATTGTTATTATTGCTTTCAGTGTCACAACATGAGCCTGAGAAGAAAATGTCACCAACTAGTGTTTCCCAACTCACCAGGGGAGTATTGCTGTCCCCATTACATTATGCATTTAAATTCATATTTTTATAGTTGTCTGCATGCATTGGGGGCAATACACATCTTAGGTTTAAGAGTGTGTCGTTCGTTTGTGTTTTTCATTGTTATGCTCATTTGTCATGTTCATGTTTTATGTTGTTCATTTGAGCTTTCTATGAAATTTAACTTTTCATGACATTTAGATAAGAAAACATTTTTTGAGACTTCACATTTACCTATGATGAGATAATTACCGATAACAATCTAATGCCGAGGACCTTAGGATTTAGAGGCAACTTGAGATTGCCTTAATGATTCTTTTGATGCTATAGTTTTTTACCGTATGTTGTGATTGATTGATTTATGGGTATTAGTTATCTTACATGTTAAAACAAAAACAAAATACTTTTTTTAAGTTCTGTGTGAACTTCTAGAGGTGCCCAACTGGCTCTAGCCGAATAAAATGTTCACAACAAACTTTTAGCTCTAAGACACTCCACTACGAAAGTAACTTCGGTACACTCAGTTAATACTAAATAGGAAAGATAATCTCGAATATCATGAGTGAATGAAAGTCTTCAGGGATGACTCTACCTAAAATGCTAGGAGGTTTGTTGCTGACACCATCTTACTACTCAAGTAATGGCAGGTAGTTGTGATGAGTTGAAGCTCTAGTTAAGCAAAATAGTAATTGATGCGACATTTTTTGCTTAATTAATTAATTTAATAATTATGATATTCTCTGTAAATACCCATGGTAATGAACTATCACGACTAAGAGCACACACATGCACGAGCATCATGAGTTGATCTATTGTTTTCTTGAGATTCGAAGGCGATTGGTATAAATTTGCCAAGTTTCTAAGATGAAAAGTGCAAGGCAAGTGTGAGAGTTATGTGTCTAATTGCTGAGGGAATGTTCATGTCATGCCTTGCTTGAGGAGAAACAAACACTTAGGCTTGAGGGTGTGATTATTCTCCGAAAGAGTTATTATTTAGAGACTTTTTAGTTAGGCTTGAGCTTGTACTTTAGTATATTAGGATCATATTTAGAGTGTTTTTAGTTAATTTTCATTACATGCATTGTTGGAAGTGAATTGGTAATTTCTGGACTGATTATGATATTTTTCTATGATATTGTTACATTGATGTTGTGACATTTTCTGATGCTGTAATTGTTGTGCGGTGATACGAGGCAGGATTGTTGGATCGTTGTTATAGCAATCGATGCGCGAATAGAAAACTATTTCTACTTTTTAGGGTTTTAATTAATATATAAAAGAGGCGACTATACTTAATTAAGGGGAAAGTTTTTTAGGGTTTTATTTTACTATTTTCTTTTCTCCTCCTTTAGCCTTGGCCACTTAGGCAATTTTGGGGAAGAGCATCAGCTGGACGTGAAGGTAAAAGTCACAACACCGAGAGGTGGTGACTAGTGATCTACGACAACATCAACAATAATAATAAAATGAATCCAAGAGGGGATTTTTATTTTTATTTATTTGAAATAATTTTTTAATTTATGTGGGATTTGTTAAGCTTTGGACGCTTATAATTTTAATTATATTTTACGAAGTTCGTGTTTAATTAATTTTATCCATTAATTTGATTGGTGTTTACTCAATTTTATTAAAGCTTTTAGTATAGAGATATATAATTTCCCAATCCATTGCATCGATAGGTGAGTGGCATTGTTGAAGTATCAGTGATTGCAAGAGTAATGTTTCAGTATAGAAAGATCCAACTGAATGATTGTCGTAACATACTTAGTAAATTTGCATAAGTGGGTATAGAGATATAGCACTATTGTGAGTTTCTGGGTGGAGCCATTGAGAGAGGAAAACATGCTAAGTTAATACTAGATGCATCGATCTTATTGTTGTGACATCGTTAATTGCATGATTGAGTTTAATTTTCTCACAATCTTTTGATTTTTTGATCCACTACTTTTACTTTCACTGTTGTGATTCCCTTTATATCTTTATTCATATATTTATTTTAGCGATTATAATTTTAATACTTTGTTACATCATCACATACACAATTATGTTGTTTTACCTACTTCATACTATCACAATTCTTTGAGTAATACTAGTCTATGTGGATACGATACATGCATTAATTTGCATCCAATTTATTACGAATAATATAACAAAAAAGTGTAAGAATATACTATTGTATCAGTTATATACTTCTACACTATAATAACCCAATTTTTTTGCTAGTGAACAAAATATAAAATTTGAAAGTTAGTGACCAAAATATAAAATGGGAAAAGTTTAGGGACCAAAATCTAATTTTAAAAAGTTATGTATTTTAGTCCCGTAGATAAATATGTTACCCCTTAGAATGGTATTTTTATGTTACATGGATTTTTTTGAATGGAGTTTGTGTTAAAAGCTATAAAATGATTAAGTTCAAAAAAATATTTAGACAATCAGATCGAATCAAATATTCATGATATTTTGAAGGATGATAAAGTAAGGGTAATAATATC